CACCCCAAGGGAGAGTTCGGGTGGTCTCTTGGACAAATCACCCACTAGATAGGCAAAATAGGGTCAGTGCGTAAGACCAAAGGCAAGGGAAGATCAGGGGTTCCTGCCGTGGAACGACCCGTGACGCGATCCTACGCTCGGGCCCATAACAAGGAACATGTAATACCAAAGACAAATGTATGGAATTAAACTCTAATATCACCCTTTCCCGCAATAGGTGCAAGAAAACCATCTGCTATACAAGCTTTATCCCTACCCAGAGCTAAAATATAATAATGGAACAAGAATGAGATACTAGTCATATGATTAAAAGCACTTGAATTTATTGCCCAAGGAATAGACTTACTAGTAGTAGCAACATGAGTAGTGGCCTGTATACCTGAGTTAGCACATGCAGTAGGAGTAAAAGTAATAGATGTGCTAGAACTGGTGGCTGCACCCTGCAAGTGGGAAAGATATCTGCCATACTCCCCAACATATGCTCTATTGGCTACTTGTGATTCCAAATAATGAAAAGGAGGGAGAGGGACAATAGGACTAGATGCCATAGGATCTGTAGTAGAGGAAGCAACATTGGCACTACCCTTATTGCCACTGTTCTTGAACCGAGTGTAAATGTAGTTTTCAACAAGTCTTATGTGTATGCTTTTGGTTTCTTACAATAGTTGCATAAACCTTCCTCCTTTCCATTTGTACTGCTACCCTTGCGTGTTAGTCTTTGATATAGATTAGGCCAAATGATCTACAACATGTGTCTGTGACATAGCCCTCCTACTCTCCTCACTCTGAGCCAAGGAATAGGCTTGTGAGAGAATCTCCATATGTAAGAATGTGCTGCCAGGTAATATCATACTCCTGATTCAGACTAGTTAGGAGTTAAAAAATTCTATTCCTTTCTACAAGCTTTCTACGTGTCTTCGCATCATCATTACACTTTCACTGTAAAATCTCAGGCTGATCTTTCTCCTCCTGAAAGTGACTTCAATGAGAGTAGTATGTAAATACTAGATAATGACATCTCCCCCTTCTTCAAAGTATTCACATCTTCAATTTAGGTGCCTTTGCACCATTGAAGCTGTCAATAAGTCACTACTCCACGCACCCTTTGCACTCTTTTTGAACATAAAATTTCTACTAATATGAGATTGCATTGAGTTAAGCAACCAGAACATCACCATATAGTTCTCTTGAGTCCATTCCTTTGAATCAGGCTCCTCACTCCCTGTGATGTAAGTATGTAACCCCATTTTCCATGCCCCAAATCCCAATCTTCATTGAGTGTGCTCACTCTAGGTAATTGGACCCATTTAGCTTGACTGTACTGTAGTGATCATCCCAGCAGTCTGGAGGCTTTCACCACCTTCTAACAAGGTTTGAAGTTTGAACCTCTGTGATCTGCTTCTGTTCACTTCCACCAGCATTCATCCCTTACCAATCACCACAAACAATTTTAAGCAATAGGAGGAAACTTTATTTGATGAGAAACTGTGATCTCAAACGCAAATTCTAACTGTATCCTAGGACAGGCCAACCCGGGAACATTGGGACAAGGGAGAACAAGTAAACGCTCACTCTAGTGAGCCCAGAAAACTCCCAATGGACATTGATTTCAATTTTAGGGTAAATGGAGCCTAGAAAATCTCAAGCACCAGTTCCCATCTCACCTTATACCCCTTACTTCAAATTTTAGGGTAAATGGGCCTGAATACTCATTCAGCCCATTAACAATAAACTAAAAGAAAGAAATAAAACAGACCCAATAACAAGTAGGCCGACAGTCAATAATGCTCAACAAAGAAGACTCAAACCTTGAGTAATATTAACTACATGTACATTAGCCGCTTGTTTAGTAGTTCCAGTATTAACGAGTTGTACATGGTGTTGCTTTTAGTTTAAGTACCGGGAAGATAAAATGGTGGTATTACTTTTGTAATTGTTGCTTTTCCTTTCCCTTTTTTTTCACTCCTCTCCTTCCTCACACTTTCGATTAATGATTTGTCCGGCATCTGAATAGTGTATAAATAAAGTTGTTTCTACACAGGTATACACCGCCATTTTGTACTTTATGGTCTGATGGAATTTCTAAGAAGAAGGTTAGTGTTGTTTCTAGTTTGGTTTGTTGCTCTCAGAACTACCATAAAGATTTCAAGATAAATTATTGTAAGCTTCCAGTATGTTACACTCTCTTTAAAATTCATTGTTGACAGTTTTGATCGACATTTCTCACCTGATGAGGTTCTGCAGCTTCTGGATCGGTTCTATAACTTGGATATGTTGGTATGAGCAACTGAATTTTATTCTCTTGACTTTTTCTCCTCCCTTATTAGAACATAAAATTGGGAAAGAGAAGCAAGATAAGGTCCTTTTCTATCAAAATATCGATAATTGTGTAGGGATGGCAACAAGGAAGAGACAAAACCCCAAAAACCTGATCCATTTTAAGCAGCAGCACTGCAGACTAGATGCTTTTTTTTCCCTTTCTTTTTAAAAGTAGAGTAGATGCATTTTCATTCCACTGAACTGTTACTTGAGTATGGAGAAAGGTTGTTGGCATGCCCTACCTGATCCAATACACATGGAAAGGTATAATTGAAGTCAAACAAGAAAAAACCACATTTATCAGATGACATAGAAAGAAAGACCAACATAGAATTGGAGGTGGGGGTGGACTTGGAATTTCAATTTTCAAGAAATGCAACTGAAAGCAGAGTAAGAACTGAGAATTGACAAAAACCCCTATCAAGAATTTTAGAGAGGCTATGTCAACTTGATTCATCAAGCCATCTGAGAATGGTAGCTCCTAAATCTTACAACAGTTTTAAACCATACAGTAAACCGAGTCTAATTTACAATGTTCATAGAACCTCCTCAAAATACTATTTTTGGAGAAGATCTCAGAAAACCTTGCAAGGTCTGCAAGAAATGGAAACTGGATTTGAAATCAATGTTAAAAATTTTCATTCTTGATATGCCCTCCAGTTTTCTCCTCCCAAGACCCCAGATAGCTGGGACCAACATTGGGTAATGGCCTTTTTATATGCCCTCATCTCCCTTCAGCCTCCAACCCCACCTTGAACAATGCAAGGCCTTCCTCATTGTGTCATCTGGTTTAGTCATCTCCCATTTTTGCACAGTGGAATTGTGAATGTGTACAGTGTCATATCTCATACGATAATCTTACATGTTTTCCTGCCAAAATTCAGAAACCAGACAACGAGGAGAGAGAGATTTTGAACCAAGAGGAAGATTTTTCTTTACCTCAGAGCTTTTTTGTCAAGGAAGAATCATAAGTATACTATTCCAACTGCTGTTTGTACATTCTATTCTAATGGTGGTTATAGACATTTCCTTGGTAATGTTATTGCCATTATGGTAATACTGGATTGATGGTCAATTTGAGAAGATTTTATACAACTTTTTTGAATTAAAGAATAAATAGTTTCAAAGAAGGATTCCCCATGTACGTGAACTTTTTGTTATATTATACTTTTGACCATGTTATGGTTATTGATCTTGTTGAGAGTTAGAATTGCAAAACAGTTATGTGCTTTATTTCGTGGAATGCTTACTTGTTCAGCTTGGCTTTACGGGATTGGTGTTATTGCATGGGGGGAGATGACTAGTCAATATGGTGATTAGTTTGTGCTTGGGTGTTGAATAGTTGACCACAATAAAGGCATGTTCTAAATTGCAATTTCATATGTGCAATATAAATTTTAAGTATATATGGGATCCAATTATAAACGGATTGAATTCAGATAACCCTTAATAGGATTGAATTCGAACAATTGGATACTGTTTGCAGCTCTTATAGATGTTTCAAGACTTCCGACATAGAGTTGTCTATCATGTTATGGGGCCATGAATTCAGACTACGATGGGTGGTCCATTGTTGTCTTTTGTTTGCTACACAACTTCATTTGCACTGATGTATAAAAAAAATAAATAAATAAATAAAAACTATATTTGCACTATGGAACTGCAAATGAGTTGAAATGTAAATTCTGGGTCTATTTGGTTTGCTTCTGGAATTGGAATTTTAATGTTCTATTCCCAAGGGAGGGGGAATGAATAGCCATTATTCTCTCAAATAGGAGATGCCATTCCACCAGGAATGAGAATGAGATTCTGAGCATGGTTTTAAAAAGTGACTTGGAAATGGAACCATTTTGGCCATTGGTTTCTGGGTTGACAGTTTGACCGTTTGGTTTGAAAGGATGGCCTGTTCTGAAAAAATTAAAAATAAAAAAATAAAAAATGGCCAAAAACCGTTGGACGGGTCGACGGTTTGATCACCTGGGTCAATGGGTCATTGACTGATCTAACGGTTTTTGGCCAGGGACTGGGTTTGGGGTAAAACAGAACTGGTTGCTTAGACGGTTTCTGGGCCGAATCGTCCGACTGTCTGGATCAATGGCGGTTTGAAAACCATGATTATGAGTCTACCCAATCAAACGTTTGGAATCAGAATGGGCTTCTGATTCTGATTCCAGACCTCTATTCTGACAAACCAATCAGAATGGGCCTGTTTTATTTATTTTAAAATTTAAATTGATTTGTTTGTCTACAGTTCAACCAAAAAGCAAAATACGAAATAAAAGTTAATTAGAATGTACATTTATTCTGATATTCTATGCATTTGTATCAATGCAAATGGAATAAAGGGTTTACAAATATAACAATTTTCCCCACTGGTCCTAACTGGTGGGCTTTCCGTAGGATCCGATTTTGGTGACGGCTCCTGAGTATCACGAAGATGTTACCAGCAAGGTAGCTGGCACCTATCTGAAGCGATAGAGATAACTAGCTGATGTGGTTTCATTTTTTTTTTTTTTGAATTTTTGATATCTTTTGAATAACTACACAACGTGTATTGTCATAGTCATAAGGCAAATGTACAAATTGCTTATATGATTCAGTCCACTTCAGAAATTTTTATTGTTTTTTTTAATTTTATTTTCCAAACTCTACTTATGATTCACTACCATGAATTTGATTCATTGCCCCACTTATCACTGTTCCAACGGTACAAACCTTTATGAAGTGGACTGAACAATAAAAACCCTACAATAAAAAATAAATTATTAAATTACCAATTTTCTTGTGGGAGAATGTAATTCATAGTTCATGTCATCATATGTTACAATCTTCTCCTTTATTGGTTAAATATCGTTGCTATTTATAAACATTGTTGATAAACGCAGTCATCATTCCCGTGAACATAATTCAAAGGCTGGCTGGCCCCGTTGTTTCCTACTTTCCAAGGTTGAAACTTGAAAGTTGAGCTTTTTCATTTATTGCTCTTGTCTTTGTCTCTGTGACAAGTTGATCGAAATTGGAAACACATTTATATTCTTATATTTTTCGAATTTTCAAGCCAACGAAGGATCAAAGGGTTCTCAAGTGTCAGTGAAAATACATCGCAACTCCCGCCCATTTTATTACTCAACTCTAGGGTTAAAAGTTTCAATTCAACCAGTTCCTTTCCTACGGAAAAAAAGATAAGAAAACTGGTGGTTTAATGCCAACAACCAACGTTTAAGTCTCGGGCTGGGACACAAAATCGGTATGTAGGGTCACAGGTCAAATAAACTGTTCATCGGATTAAATGGTTTGACCACAAGTGGTGGTTATATTCACGAGTTTAGACCTGTATTATATAAATAAAATTTTAAATAAATATATTTCTTATTTTCCTTTTTATTAGGCATAAACCAAATGATTTTAAGTGGCAAAACCCAAATAAGGAAAAACCCAATTCAGGGTAAGTCGTTTGGGTTGGGAAGATAGTTAATGCTAAACTTTTTTGGCCCTTAATATCAATAAAAATAATTATTTTAATATAATATTTAGAAAATTGTTAACTTTTTGAATAAAATATAGAAAAAGGGTAGAAATATTGTTCATATTCTTCCTCCTCCGAATTGTGAATGGTGAGATCCCTCTCTACTTCTCTCTCTTTCTTTTCTCTTTCTTCTTCTTCTCATTCTCTGCATCTAAGTTCTAACTACAACCTATTTGTTCTGTCAGACTTCCCTCGCCATAGACGGGAAGTCAATAAACCTGACACGCTTAGGTGCGACAAATGTTCTTAAACAAACTTGGTGAACTATTTGTTTGTATAGTGTAACAAAGTGGAGAGAGGTCTTATCATTCTGCTCTATTCTGAATTTGGAAGAATTCATATATGAAAGAAAAAAAAAGAGACGAAAAAGAAAAAGAAAAAGAAGAGAGAGAGGAGGTGAGGGAAATTTATCACTTGTTGCTCACCATTCAAAAGAGGAAGAAGGTGAACAAATACTATTTGATTTTTTTTTTTTTTTAAAAGAGAACATTTTCCTAAAGATTATATTAAAATAATTATTTTTATTGATTAAGGGCAAAAGTTACCATTATCCAATAACCCCTTTATTCTTTTTTCCTGAACGTGGAGCAATCTAAGATTCTAATCTAATGGAAAGAGAGGATAAAAATCTTATGTAGCGATTGAAAATTGAAATGATTGATGTCACAGACCGACCCATTCGAACGAGCCGGGATCAAATGAAAACATCGACCAGAAGTGAACGCCATCCATGATGTCACCGACAATATTGTGCAAGGAGGCGAGGTACATTAACCGGTAAGTTGTCACGTTGCTCGGTCATCATATGTCTATCACGTCAACGACGCATTTATTCTCGATCTATCACAATTCACAAAAAAGGAGGCGAGGTACATCAACCAAGAGTGAAGTCTACCTATCCCAAAAAAGTTCTGTTCCGTGATATTTAGCACCCACCACCACTGACGTCCCAGGGCCAAGTCGCTGTCCTATGATAATATGATATGACTCTTTTATCTTTGCTTCCCCAAAGCGCGATGCTTTGGCCAACCAGTGTCGCGCCATACGCAACGATTAGGAATCTGCTCCTCATATGCACATCTCATGCATTGAGAACATCTTCCGTGAATATTAACGTATAAGTACAGGACATGTTCATAATGCATGGTGGGATGTGCCTGGAATATCGGTTTGAGGCGCCCGGTATACGTAGCAGATCCGGTCAACTCGCAACTCCCTAGAGGCTAGAGCTAAGGCCAGGGGTTTCAGTCATCTCCATATACTGATGAACTTATGTCAATGCCAGACTGTTTGAGTGTCTGAAATTCTGAACTATATGATGTGTGCCAGAAAATCTGTCCTCTTTCCAATTTCAAACGCGATACGCCGCGTCAGGTCCGCATATACGAGTCCGGTTAGGATTCAGTGCGTTTGGATCGAAAGGGATTTTTTCTTCAACTCCGTCAATATTTTGATGCGTCATTCAGTCTTTAATTGACCACCACTTACAATCGATCGAAAACTTATTACTAACAAAAATATTTTTAAATAAAAAATGATAAATTAAGCTAATGCTGAGAGAAAATTCCAATGCCCTCGTTTTCAGACGGAAATAGAGGTTAAGATGTCTATCATGTTGGAAAATAGAGTGACCAATGTAGGCTAAGTAATCAGGATTAACACTGCTGGCACATATGAGGTCATAGAGGATGATGCGGTAGTGCTGAGAAAAATAGGGTAGTATGCACTGCCAAGCTGATTAATTGGTGCCAAAGTGGTAGGCAAGGACAAAGAACTTGTTGCCGGTACTGGTGACCTTGACATTGAGGGCTTCTAAGAGAGTGTTTTTGTTGAACGGGACTCTCTATGACTACGATTCTACGAGAAGCACTCCAGAGTTAGCCTCTTCTTCTTCTTCTTCCCCATCTCCCTCCCTACGGCGCTCCTCCTCTTCCAAGTTAGGCTACTTCCCCTCTTCTCTTCCTTTGCGGCAGAAGAAACAATTAAGGTTTAATCCCCTTTCGTCATGATCAGTTATAGTTAGAGAGCCTATGTACAGTGTTTATGCCTCTATTTCTCACCCCTAAAGAAGACATCGAAGAGAAGTCTCTTTCTCTGATGAACGATTTCTTCAGTTTATTGAATGAAAGAATTTTAATTAATCGAGAGAGGGTTTCGTACGATCTTTCGATTCTGTTTATCAAAAAGGAGAGAAACCTTTCTCCTTTCAACAAAGATTGCCCGCCGAAGTAAAAAAAGAAGAATTCTCGCTTCTTTCTTATTTAATCCCTCTTCGATTTTTTTTTTTTTTTGTTTTGTTTAATGGTATAGAGTTATGGAAGAGGAAATTCACCGTGCCAACCGATTCCCCTTTTCTTACTTTTGATGTGTCATGAAATGATTGGAATCGAAGGGAAAATCCTTTCGAGTCCAAACGCAACGAATGCGAACTGATATGCGTCCCATATGTCAGGCTTATATGGCAACTGCCAAATCATAATTGGCCTCAAAATCCTACAGTTCCCTAGTGATCCCGCAAAGGGACAAAAGTACTCTAGTTGGAAGGATTCAAGTTTTGAAGTGACTTCTGTCTTGGTGATGATGGTGGTGGGTGGGATTGGTAATAACCCACTTGCTTGCCACATGAAAACGGGGATGTCATAACAAATATTCAATTACCATAAATAGAGAGAAATAGGAGAAATGAGATAGTGAGTAGTTTATTTGGCGACCGATAGAGACATTTATATAGAAGCGTAAGTAAAATAAAACAAGGCGTTGGTACTATTGTATAAGTGGAAATCAACCCATGAATCTACTCTCCCCTCGCAACTAATCAGTAGCACAAATTTTGGCATTATAGTCAAATCATCACAACAACTATAACCCAATAAGGGAATTGCATTGAAAGGCAGAACCAAGGCGGAAAAAGACAACAAATAGAACTTCATATCAGGCCAGAGGTGTAAAACATCTAACGGCCATAAAGAAACGCAGAAATTCAATACATCTCTTCCACTCCAAATCGAACCTCGCTATATTAAAACTTGAAACCGCTGCTTGCATAATACCTTCGGAGCCTTGAGAAGTATGACTATTCTCCTGGTTATTGGATTGCATCATGCACAGCCTATTGAGATCCCGATTAGTGCTGCAAAGCAATTTGACAATTTCTTTTCAATCGCTGAAATATGGAGAACTTCGTTCTCTGATTTTTTAAAGTTTTCTGGTGGAGAAATTTTCATTTACAAGCAACATAAAGAAAAATGAAGTAGCTGATATTTACCTCGGGATCAGCAGGTTTGGGTTCTTCACCCTTAGGTGCCCCATCTTCACCTGCACAGAAGCATTTGGATGCAGTCAGCTTTTAAGTATTTTTGGCATTCCATGCCAACATCTCTGCTACGATTGTTGGAGATGGATTGCTCCTTCTCCATACTAGTGGCCAACGTAACAGTAGTATAAAACATCTGATAGCACCGAAGTTCAGAATTACAGATTTCATGCAGGAGTCTGGCAATTAAATTACCCCACTATCCCACACTATGCTGTCCCAGATGTTGCCATATTGTCTCCTCTTTATTGCTTCTTTATTAGAACTGAAACAGATCCCATCAGTTTAAATGTTTGGTTTGATGGAAAATAAGAGAGAACCAAAAAGTTGATGGAAAGTTCGTGACAAAGGTTTGCAAAACTCCCAATAACTTTCCCTTGGCTTTCCTTCTCTTTGGTTTTCTGTCAAACCAAACACAGCCAAACTGATCAAGGGATTGCTTCCTTAAAACCAATGGCCCCGAGTGCACAAATACCAATTACCAGGTTACAATTGGAAATGCACAGAATGCCAAATCTCTTGAAATACACAAAACAACTTCTAATTTTTGATTATATAGGTTACCTCCTTCGGGTAAATCAGAAGTCCAGAGGGTGAGGTTGTCCCTCAACAATTGCATGATCAGGGTACTGTCCTTGTACGATTCCTCACTCAAAGTATCCAGCTCTGCAATTGCCTCGTCAAAAGCTTGTTTAGCCAAATGGCAGGCCCTAGAATTTTCAATAATCAGATTTGCAACCGAATGACAATATCCATCAAATATGGAGGTAAACCAAGAAAGGTGAAAGCCTAAACTCTCCTAATAACCAGCAATCTGGAATTACCTTTCAGGGGAATTCATTATCTCATAGTAGAAGACAGAGAAGTTGAGGGCGAGACCCAGACGGATGGGATGAGTTGAAGGAAGATCTGTATTTGCTGTATTTGAAGCAGCCTGACAAGTGACAAATAGAAAGCAAAAAAAAAAAAAAAATCAGAGAATAAAAGAACAAGAGTTTACAAGGTAATAAATGAAATATCTATGAAAATGTGTGTGGGGGGGGGGGAGAATGCCTCGTAGCCTTTCAATGACTGTTCAGCAGCATCTTTCCTTTCTTGATCCGTCTTAAACTCAGCAAGGTAGCGGTAGTAGTCGCCCTTCCTGCAATTTTGGCAAAAACAAAACCGAGGAAACGTTACTTTCTACTAATTAGAAAGAAAATTCATATATTGTCCTAAATTGTTGAGTTTCTGGTAAACAAATGTGCTCTGCCCCATCCCTCTGCTGAGGGTGGGAGGAGAAGTTCACACCATCAAATCGTGATAGAAATATCATCCTCTAAAATGCCATACAGACTCTATACTACATGCACTAGAGGGTCAAAATAGACGCTGCCAGTAAACAAAGTACTTCATATTTCAGACTGTAGAGTGTGAATTTGGCAATAAATACTAAATTGATCAGCATAAGGAATTGATGCAACTTACATCTTGTAGTAAAAGACGGTTGACTCTCCTGAGGCGGAAGAAGGAATAAGGTGTTCATCTATTATAGTCAAGATATCATTGCAGATATTAGCGAGCTCGTCCTCTACCTTCTGGCGGTAAGCCTTGATGAGTTTCACATTTTGTTCATTTCCCTTTGACTCTTCCTTCTGCTCAATGGAAGACATAATGCGCCATGAAGCTCGACGAGCGCCAATTACATTCTTGTAACCCACAGAAAGGAGGTTCCGCTCCTCAACAGTCAGCTCAAGATCGAGTTTGGCAACTTTCTTCATGCTTTCCACCATTTCTGTGTTATTGTAAATAAGAATGTCAATACAATGCAATCATTGGATGCAGCTTCAATATAACAGAATTATGCTCAAATGTTTTTGAAAAGAGAAAAAAATAATTTTCCCTAAAGACGTGGATGTGGTTATTGATGAGAGATCTAAAAAAATTTCTCACTCCTTGCCTCGGCCGGAATTTTATTGAATACCAAAATAAATCAGATGTAAAGAGACATTGATACGATCTTCATCAAACAACAAACGTAATTATTTTCTCAACCAAGATTAAATCCAAGCGCAAGAAATCCCTAACCTTAATGCAAGCCAATATTCCTTTAAACTACATTTCACGAAAAAAATTATCATGTTCTCAACCATTGATCGTACCGAATGAAAATGCATCGAAGACAAATGCGGAGAAAAAAATAAACTATCATAAGCTCTACGTGATCGAGATCTAAACGCATTTAAAAGAAACGTTGACAGATCAACACCAAGACACTCAAGCATCAAAATACCTAATCTGAGCCTACAATAGGTCAAAGGAAAAATGCCGGGAAAAGAACAAAGAATCAACAAAGGAATGGAAAATGCGGATTGATATCTTACCATCGTATCGCTCGGCCTGCTCGGCGAGCTTCGCCATGTAAACATGGTTCTCTCTCTCCTTTTCCGTCGACATTGGGATTGGGGGAGATCAAAGAAGGCGCGCGCAGGCGAAGCGAGAAAGGTTGCAGAAAGAGCGAAAAGAGGGCTTTTGAGAGATGAATGGCTGGAATAAATGAATTAAAAACATTCAAACGTTGAAATGGGCATTTTATAGGGGCTGTGGCTGTTAAGTCTCGAACAAGTAGGGCGACTTAGACCAGATCCTGATCGTCCGTTCCGAGGGTTGAAAACTAACCACACAAGTCGTGATTGGGAAACGGCCGAGATTTAGGTGGTTCGGTTTCGGACCTTTCAACTTTCAAGTTTAGTCGAGCTTTGCTGGCGATTTGCTTGAGACACGGGGGTCTTGTGAAAGGATTGAGCTAAGGGCAAGGGAGGGGCTCACCACCATAAACCCTTTATACAAAGGCATTGCCACGTGTCAAACGTGCAGCTGGAGACCCACTTTAATCGTCTCCCACGTAAGAGATTGCCCGCACATCGACTTGGCTCGGGAGAAACTCGTGGAATCAATTTGCCACCTGAAAGGGCATTTTGGCCTTTGCATATGCGAAAAGGACAAGTCACCAGGGGCACTTTGGTCAATATAAGTGCTTGGCGTTTTATCGATTTTTCCGACTGTGATTATGTGCAATACAAACACAAATATATATACCTTCTCTTAAAATAATTTACAACTGTAAACCCATTTTGTTCTTTTCTTGTTTGTTTCAAATTGATGCAAAAACGCTGTAAGATGGTCTTTCTCACTCGATCAACAGAATAAAATAAGCTTTTATTAAAAAAAATATAATTTTGTATCCATCGATTGGATACAGTAATGCACTCTCGTGATACGAAAATGTTACAAAAAAACATTTTTACCTCCTTAATCCTTGCACTTTTGTATGACCAATAAATACTTACAAATCTGAATTGGAGTAGATTTTTTTTTTAATATCTCTAAATTAACTCCAGTGGAGGGGCAGCCACCTAAAAATTTTATTAACTATTTGTATCAAATGGAGGATACACCTTCCCCAAAACACACAACCTTACCTTCTCATCCCAACCCAATATATAAATACCTCAATTCAACTTTTATATCACAAACAAACTCAGCCTTCATGGTTATTCAATATTGGCCGATTTCTCGAATAGCACTACTCGAGTTTCGCTAGCATTCCCCACCTAAATTTGGCATGTCCCTTCTAATGATACCAATCCAATGCCAATGTTAATAAGTATCCCTCATCCACTATGATTATTTTGTTCTTTTTAGAGACTTAGTATCGTTGTATTTTGTCTGTTGCAGAAATTTCTTTTATTGGTGAATTTGCCTTATCTTTTTGTTTATTGCAGAAGTTTCTTCATTTTTTTTATCCACCTTTAATATTTTGTTATTTTTAGAGGCTTATATTCTTGCTTGATACTGTTACCACTTCTCTCTTTTCATACAATGTTTCTATACTTTATTGCTTGGAACTGTGACCACTACTTTGTATTCATACAAGTTTCTTAGTTGAAAGAAATATGATGTTTTACCTTAAAAAAAGGGAAAATTCCCGATAGGCACCCTATACTTTAGGCCGAATGCCAATTTAGTACTCAAATTTTAAAACGTAACAATCTAGTACCCTAACTTTACACACTGTTCATCATCTTCTTTCTAAAGAAAATGAAAAAGAGCCCAAACTCTCAACAGTCCACATCATCATTTCATGATGAAAACCCAAGAGTCCAAAATAAAGGAAGTGATAAACCCATGTTTTTAAAACCCAAACTTCTATGAGAGTCCAGATCAGCTATATCTATCAAAAAAAGAAAACTATCTATGCTGCAAGCTTAGAAAGAAGCAAGTGAGAAGAACACAGATGAGAAATAGTTCATCTTAGAACGTAGAAGACCTATTTGACTGTTTTTTCCAAACAAAAAAATTTCTTGAACTGAGTATTGGCTGTACTTAAAACCAAAGAATTCAATTACACGTATTTGAAGCACCTTTAGAATCTGGGCCCCCTTCCTCCTCATCCTTGTGCTGCACTCTCCCTGCAGCGCTAGCACCATTGCTTGACCAACCTCCTCTGGAAGAGCCACCCCCTCCTCACCACCCCCTCCAAAGATCACTACCAAAACACTTACCCCATGCTCTTTCCCTCTTCCTTCCATCTTCGTTACCATCTCTTCCAGCATTGGAACGACCAAGGCATGGGCCCTCAACTCCACAACTCCCTTTGGGACCATACATACCAATTCCAGCATAGCTAGCGCTTGCTCCTAGAGGTGTAAAATGGGCGGCTTGTGCAAAGTGCGGGCCGTCCTGGACTATGCCACCCTCCCCTGGGATAACTTGGGGGGGTTGGCCTAACATGGGCCCGCACGACTGTGCCATGCTGCAGGCCGGGCCATAGACCGAGTCAAAGCTATTTTTGTTTATTTATTAAGAAAATGAAAAAAAAACTTAAATTTTTAATTTTATATGAATTTTGATGTATACAATTACTTATATATACAATAATTAAATAAATTAATATAATAAAATTGAAAACAATTGTTTATTTTATTAATATATTATATACTATATATTATTATATAATATTACATTATATATACATATATATAAATAATATGTATGGGCCATGCTGTGGGCTGAGCTTTGTCGGCATGCGGGCCGTGAGCAGCATGACCGACTCGGCTTGCAGACCTAAAACCCTAGGCCTAGCACGGCCCAGACCATCATGCCGGGTTGGGCCGCTCCGCCGCTGATCCTTCTAGCTCCGCCACTGTCTCCACCACCTTTGCAACCACTCCCGCCTCCACGACCACGTGACGATTGCATTCTGCCATGCATAATGACAACAAAACTTTAGTTGCAGGCTTGGCACCTGATGGGTCTTTCAAAAATCCTACCACCCCACTCATTACCGATGGCGGCTAGGTGGGTGCCAATGGCTCAATGACGATCTGTACACCTACAGGGGCAAGCATAGTGGTTGTGTACTCTACACTTCTGCAAGGCCATTGTCAACGTTAGTGACTGTCCTCCAATACATAGCCTCTGATGGTTTCTTTCAGTCACGAACAGGAAATAGAATGCTAAGTAGGGGTGTCAATGGTATTCAAAAATCCGATTTTGAATTCGATATTCGACATAATCGAATCGAATTCAGATATCCTATTCATATTGAATAGTTAATCGGATTCAAATTCGGATACGACCTGATTTGATTTGATAAATATCCGAATTCGACTTATTATTTAATTCTTATATATAATATATAAAATATTTTATATCATTTATATATAATTAAGTTATATAAATAATTTATATACCTTATATCAATAAAATATTTATTTTATATATTTATTAATTATCTAAAATAATTAATTAATCGAATTGAATATTCAAATGTTTAATTGGATTCAAATTCAGATATTAATTTTCAATATCCATCGAATATCGAATCGAATTCGAATGTCGGATTTTCTAATTGGATTTGAATTCGGATATTGCCTGATCCGATTCGAATTCGATCCGTTTACACCCCTAACGACTGATTAACAGGACATACTAGATTGTTGCATTTCAAAAGTTCAGATACTAAATTATCGAGTTTTAAAGTTCGGGTACTAAATTTGCAATCGGCCTAAAGTACAGGGTAACTATCGAGAATTCCCCCCCCCCCCAAAAAAAAAGGAAAATTCCCGATCAATACCCTATGCTTTCGCTTGAGTGACAATTTGGTACCTGAACTTTAAAATGCGACAATCCAGTACCCGAATTTTCAAAATGTGACAATCCAGTACTTGCCATTAACCAGTCCGTTAATCAGTCGTTAAGTGACATTTGAAAAGTCAAAAATGCCTTAACAATGCCATCTAGCTCTCTTTATCAACCATCCAAACATTGACAATCAAATGAACAATCCCAAATTCTAGATTATTCTAAATAGTCACCAACTTTTTTGAATAGAAGATGATAGGATTTGGGACTTTTCAGTTTTTTGTCAATGTTTGGATGGTTGATAAGGAGAATTAGATGGCATTTGAAGAACAATTTTGACTTTTCAAATGTCACTTAATAGTTGATTAACGGGCTGGTTAACATTAGGTACTGGATTGCCACATTTTGAAACTTTAGATACTAGATTGTCGCATTTTAAAGTTCGGGTACCAAATTATCACTCGAGCCATGTTCAATTACTCAATTCCTCATATGAGACCATGGTTTTTAAAAATGAACCGGAAATAGAACCGGTCAAGGGACCGGTTTTTGGTTAAACGGTTTAACCGTCTGGGTCGAACGGTTTGACCCGTGATGTCATAAATAAATTAAAAATAAAAAATAGCATAAAATTAAATAAAAATATACAGGAAATAAAACTATCTAATAAAAAATAATATAGTACAAAATACATAAAAAGTATAAAAATAAAATACGAAAAAATTCTAAAAAATACAGAAAAAACACAAAAAAAAGAGAACAAACAAAAAAATAAAACAAAAATGCAAAAAATACAGGAAAAAAAACTCTAGAATGTTAAGTCCTAAAATGCAAAAATCCTTGACCTAAAATCAAGACTCACATAGATAAATTCCCCTGGCACCAAAATAAAAGGGGAGAAATATGAGCATGTTAGATTGTTATGCAACCAAGATTGATTTGTAAAAAACTTCAATACACATTAATTTTACCTAATTGATAAAAAAAATTACACTAATTTTTACCTGGAACTGCTGCAAACTCGCCTGCCGTAAAGCTTAGAAGTGCTACAAATTGCAAAAAACACTACCTATCACCGATCGCCTTTAATCGTGGTCGGTCGGTGTTTTTCATCGTCGAACGCCGAAGGTGCTGGGCACCATAGGTGGTCGGTTGGGTGTGAGGGATGGCTGCCGCTGCAAACTCGCCTGGCGCAAAGCTGAGAAGTGATGCAAATCGCAAAAAACGTTGGCCGCTGCTGCAAACTCTCATTGCCAATCACCGTTAGTTGTGGTTGGTTGGTGTGTGTTGTCATTGAACGCCGGAGGTGTTGGCCGCTGCAGGTGGTTGGTTGGGTGTGAGGGATGGCCACCGCTGCAAACTAGCCTGTCGCAAAGCCTGGAAGTGCTGCAAATCGCCGGTTTTCGTTAATCACTGTCGGTTGATGTGTATCGAGT